TATATCTACAAATAAATAAAATTGAAGTGTCTGTTTGTAATGTTAAAACAACAGCTTTTTATTAAATGCATATGTAAGTACTAGTAACAAAAACACAATTTTTAAAATTTTTATCTGTCTGTCGGTCTGTCTGTTTGTCTGTTTGTTCCAGCTAATCTCCGAAACAGCTGGATCTATTTTGACGGGACTTTCACTGGCAGATAGCTGATGATATAAGGAATAACTTGAACTACTTTTTGTTTTAGAAAAAGAATTAGGGTTCCGCGCAAAAAAATTAAAACCCATGAAATCCATATTCCACGCGGGCGAGATCGCGGGGAACAACTAGTACTCAATACAGATAAATATATACCTATTTTTATTTATTTATAATTTTAATAAATAAATAAAAATAAGTATTAATAATTTCTAGACACATGTCAACAGATATTTCGTTAATAAATTGCTATCAATACTGAAGCATTCTTTTATATTTAGCATCCATTTAACACAAAAAACTGATAAGAATACTTTTTAAACGACATATAATCAATAAACGATAATCGCGTATAGTGAATTTCGAGGTAAATTATTACCTATATTTAAACGTTTATGAATCGTCGTAATGATACATATTTCCAAAAGAAAATATCTTCACAATTAATTTGATGTAAAATAACATTAGAAATAACGTATAAAAACAGAGAAATTATCAAATTTTTGATCGAGTTCCTAACCAGTACACAAATAAAAATGGCGAATAGTCATTTTCACATTTTTTTAGAAATAACGTATAAAAACAGAAAAATTATCAAATTTTTGATCGAGTTCCTAACCAGTACACAAACAAAAATGGCGAAATGTCATTTTCACATTTTTTTCTATATAGTTATTTGTTACAGAGTACACAGATAAAATTCACTCTCATAGATGACAAATTTCAAACACCACAATCTCTAATGTTTTTACTCTGCTATCTTCAGCGCTATACACGAACGGAACGATGTCGTTGAGAGCCGTAATTGCTCTCATGGTTAGCGCTCGTTATAAGTATCACAGTACGGGAGCAACCCGGGTTCGATCCCCACTGGCACCAATGAAATTGTTGCGTGCTGATTTAGCTATCAGTTGGAAAGTCTGGTTTTATGGGCCGTTTTGTTTTGTTACACTGACATCTCGCAAGTCACCTAGGGACCTAGGAGGTTGTCGGTTGCTTATTTTTTATTTTTCTTTAAAATTTTCGTCGGTAAAATAATATATTTATAAAAGTAAAAAAAAGTAAAGTTACAGCCTATATACGTCCCACTGCTGGGCACAGGCCTCCTCTAATTTCTGAGAGGGTTTTAAGGCAAGGAAATGTCCGCCACGCTGCCTCAATGCGTGTTGACGAACTTCACATGTCTTCGAAATATATATTTTTAATTTCTCAGACATGCAGACCCAAGTTCGATCCCCGCCGGCACCAATGAAATTGTTAATTGCAATTGTGCTGATTTACCATCTTTTTTTTTAAATTTTATTTATATTCCGCTATTTTTGTCTGTGCTTATATCAATTTGATTTACATTCGATCTCTAAATTGTAGTTTGCGAGGGTAACGGGGATCTATCAGCTCCGGTAAAACACATTTCTGATAAAAGCTATCTAATTTTAAAATTTTGTCTGCCGTCCAAAACGCATCATCTCTTTCAATAATATCAATTTCTATGCCAAACAGAGTAGTATCGAAATCCAAAGTTCAAGCAGGGGTCAATGTAGCGTAGTAATTTAGAGCGCAGGTATAGCTATAGTCATACGAACATCACAGGCCGCAGCTGACTGAGTCGAATAAAACTAGAATAAGCGCGCGTCACCGCGCATGCATGTGTGTGTAAGTGTCGTCCTCGCGCACCGCACCGGGGGAAACATTATTCAGTGAGATGCACGATAATTCATATAAACACTCGCGCGTAAAAAAATACGAAAAGGCCTTTGGAAGAAGGGGGATTTATGAAAAAATCACTGCATAAATTAATTACCAATAAAATTTATTGAATTCTTCGATAATTGAGCTGTGTCGGTACCGACTTTGTCTTGGAAATTTTACACTGCTTTTATTACTAATTTACGCCCAAAGTTGTGTTAAAATTGGCAATAAAACGAATCTTTGATAGCTCGTAACTTTTTAATGACTTTTTATTTTACTATTCTGTTTCCGTAGAGACAAAATTAATAATGAGACAAAACGATATCATGTTTAACTGTCACTTGTATATACTGTTGATGTACACTGTCAAACAGCGGAGTAAAACCCCTCCGAAATTTCTATGGAAATAATGTCGACTAGTGTCACCTTAAGCAGGAGAATGAATTAAAAACTATGTATATTACGGGGATTCTGGATAATTTGTAATATGGAAGGGAGTCCTGATTGGTTTCCCTCCGTCTGGCAATATACGAATATTTGTATATCGATATATGGTAAATTTTCAAAGAAATGAGTTAAACACTATCTTTGAAATTGTTTAATGGACCAATATTCGCAGTCATAATGTACTAAAATTGCTTACAAGTGGTGGACGCTACAATAATGCGAAATGAAAAGACGTAGAATCAATATTGTGATATATATATATATATAAAAAATATATAAAAAATATATATATATAACCGTAAACCGAAAATAATTCAAAATATCATTGTAACAGCTATCGTGTTTATGTAACAAACATTAATTTATTTAAACATTGAGAAGAACAATTTTGATATCTAAGCAGGTTATATTAACTTTAAAGTTATTTATTAAAGGTTATAAATTCATTCATTTATAACTTTAAGCTTACTTTACGGTTTTTCATAACTATAGAAAAAAAAAATAAAAATAATTATAACTTATAATAATAGAGATTTTAAGCCATTTTAAAATTGTATAAATAAAATTTACGACAAAAAAAATCACACGAAATGTAGCATCAGTGTTATGTTAACAACAAACTATTAAAATTTAATTAATGATAAACCATATTATTTTATTTCAATCATGTTTTGCAGGAAAAAATAATATAAAACTATAAATGAATAAAAGTGAATATAAAATCAAGTGTTAGATGAATGATTAAAATGTAACTTAATTTATAATTATTGCATTATGCTTATTTTTTCGGTAATAAATTATTTAAAATCGGAGTGGGGAGCGTGAGGTTTTTTCGTTACGGCGGAATAAATTTCTGGATTCGATCCCCATGCTCAAGGCCCGCGATAGAAGCTATGCAATAGCTTAAAAATCAAATTTAGATTTTTATTGTTTACAAACCTTGTCTTCGTTGAGCTACAAATATTGCCGAAAAGAATATGTAAATTGGCTTACGGGTTACGGAGGAGATAGATTTCAAAGAATCGTTTTCTTGCGCCATGGGAGTGTGATAAAATCCATTCCAATAAAAAACGTGGCAGAAAGAGGAAATATTTAATATTATGTTCATTAAAATAATTTACGTGGCAGCACCCTGTTGTTGCCATAGTTGGAGCTGGAACGGGCTCGGTACGGCTTCGGCAGGTTTACACCCGCACTAGCAATACGTTCTACGAAAGTAAAATAGCAACATAATGCTGCTGTTTTTTGTATGATGGTTTTTATTGATGTTATACTGGTTACCAGGCATTCTATTTCATTTCCCAGAAGTGACTACGCGTAGCTGTTTCTTAATCAAGGTTCAGTGTAGTGGGTGTATAAGGTAACTTATAACTCCCAACGGAAGATGGGCTGCGGCATTTTCCTGATAACAAATCAAAATATGTATAGGCTGTAATTGATGGATGAATCGTGGTTTAGTGTAATTATCTATAGCCAACGGTGTCCACTGACTATCATTTTACCCATGTGCTCTTTTGTCACCCTTTCCATTGTCATTACAGCCTATTCAAGACCACTGCTGAACATAGGCCTTTCCTAAGACTGTTTTGTTCTCGAATATTGGTCATAGTTGACAAGCTTGGTAGACGCTACTGCCCATCTTAGTCCGGTAGGCAGCAACAATCTTTGTGCGATTATTCCTACAAAGCTGATTCTTTATCATTTTATTTTGAGATCGTACGTAAACAGAATGGCAGTCTACCGCGCCGATGTTGTTGCAACCATTGATAACAATTTTTGAAACCTGTAAATAAATAATACGTAAATGTATTATACCTACAAGACTGAAATTTCTTACAGTGACCAAGGATATTTCTAAATATACAGGATAATGAAAATCTACCGCCTCGGAAGCGTTGCCATCTAAGATCTACCACCCACGTAATGTGTTGAAAAGTTAACTTTTTGGACTTTGGACAAATTCATTGGCTGATTTTTTTTTCTCGAATAAGTTTATAAAAGAACAAAAAAATACAGTCTACCGAGAATGCAATGTTGCTAAAGCCTACAATTCTCTAAATCTAATAAATCTCTAAATCTTTCGTCTACAAGTGGTTTATGTTAATTATTGTTGAATTATCGTCGTCTACTTTCAATAGAAGGTGGTTAAAGCTTCGGTAGACGTGGCCCAAGTTGTAATGAAATGACTGAATAGTGAACCAAAATAATTTATTTGTTAAATTCAAAGTACCTATCTATGTGTATGAAAAGTTAACTTTTTGGACTTAGGCTACAAGGCTGAAATTTTTTTCTCAAATATTTAAGTTTATAAAAGAACAAAAAAGACAGTCTACCGAGAATGCAATGTTGCTAAAGCCTTGGTAGACGTGATGGAATGCACTATCTCCAGAGCACAGCTACTGTGCCGATCGGCTATAAGTCGCTTTGAATAATTGGACATACAGGCATTAAATTAAAATCTTAAAAGCTGGTCTTTCGTCTACAAGTGGTTTATGTTAATTATTATTGAATTATTGTCGTCTACTTTCGATAGAAGGTGGCTAAAGCTTCAGTATACGTGGCCCAAGTTGTAGTGAAATGACTAAATAGTGGACCAAAATAATTTATTTTTCAAATTCAAAGTACCTATATATGTGTATATCTATATCTGAAAATTCAAAACAAGTGATTATTTGTTAAAATAGGCATCAAAACCTTGAGAATCGGAATATCTTCTATATTGTTTATCCGAGGCACCTTTATCAAGGTATCCTTGTTTCCCATGTAAACCTATATTGCGATCATGATGAAAATGACCTTTACTGTAACCCTTGCCAGCATCAACCCTAATACCAAGACCTTTTGCTCCGGTTTTCTTTATAATTCCGCTGGTTTCATCGTCTTCGTAGATCTCTTTATCTTTTTTGTATTCATCCTTATGTTGAATACGATGAAAACCTCGAGTTTTTGTCCCTTTCCTGTATTTTCTATCTTCGTTTCCAGTGACCCTGATCGCTTTTGCGGCAGTGCCTTTACTAAGTGTATACTCATCATCGTTATCATATAATTCTTCATCATGTAATTCACCATACTTAGAAAACTTCTTCAAATCTTGGAGGTTATGTTTAGATTTGATTCCCTTATCATCTACATTTTTCTTTTTAAAACCGAAGTTATTTACTCTCGTCTTAGCATTATTGTTTGCTTTAGTTTTTGGATAAGCATCGTCTATAAGTCTAGACAAATCATCTAAATCTTCATCTTCAACGCGATACGATACATTAGAGAGATCAGAGTCTGAACGGTCGAATTCCATATCTTCTATACTATTTGGCGCCGATTCGACCCAATAGCAGGCCAATGTCAGAGCCAACGTGAAGTATAACTTTTTATCCATACTAGAGTATTTTTTACTGACTACTGTTTTGTAATATAACTAGGTTGCGGCACTGACATACACCATGCCATTAATTTCGTTTATATAGTATTTTATTTTAAGCATCTGATCAAGGCCAATGTTTCTATGATTAATTTTCTAGCGGCAAATTATTAGCAAAATTATTAATTAAGTTCCACATGAATGGATTACTAATAGAGATACAATATAACTAATCAACTTAATTACTTGTGACGGTTGTGCGACACGGTATATTATTATTCTTTACGGAAAATTATTTTTATTTTGAAAACATACTGCATATCGAGAAAAGTAACACATTAGTCTTTCCTGACTTATCGTTATAGCCTATTAAAAACCACTACTGAACATAGGCCTCCCCCATAGATTGCGTCATAGGGGGGATATTTGCCATAGTTGAAACGCTTGGTAAACGGGTTGGCAACCGCAGATTTTTTAATCTGATATTGGAGATATGCTGCTCCCCATCTTCTGATCTGTTTCCCTCCGTCACCTCTGACGACACCAACGGGGTAGTGGATATTTTTATACCGCCTCTACACGCTTCTTTCTTCCTTTCACATTCTTTAATTTATCTGAAAATATCAATAATTTATCTGAAATGTCACCGTATGCAATTTCACTGTACGCGAGCACATAGGGTTCTATCGCCGCTTGCATCGCTTAAATTGTAAAATTAAATTTGCAAAGATATCGCGTAACATTACGTACAAAAATATATAGCCTAAATAAGAACCTTCAATCTTTTTTCAAAATCGGCTACAAAAGAATTAAAAAAAAATTATGTCCATAAAATTGCATCGGAAGTCGGGGTTTTTAAAACACTATGTGTTAGCACCGATTTCAATAACTACTTAATTTCATAGTATTACGCGGAAATTGTTTAATTTATATTACTTAATATAATAACATGGTGATACACATAATAAAATGATGTATCTGACTCATTGACCGTCATTCAACAAATAATCTAAGTAAAATGAAAACCGACTTCAAAAAGTAAGTACCTAAAATTCGGTTTCCCTTTTTTATTGAAAATTTATTTTGAAACACTATTTTTTATAGCAGGCTTACGCACATGGGGAAACGAGCATGCGGCTCACTTGATGCTAAGTGACTACTTTCAGTATGTACAAAGTACTCTGTGGTGACTACCGCCGCCCATGAACAACCGCAAGACCAGGGGGATTATTGCAGGTGGGTTGCCGACATTTTAAAAAGGAATAAGCTCTTTTCTTGAAGGTCCCTAAGTCATATCGGTCCGAAAAAATCACTGGTGGTAAGCGAATCCACAGAGGTTGCACGAGAAAGAGTAAAACGCACAGTGATGGACTGCCAATCATCCAGGTGGTGTGGATGGTATGATGAGTCTTGATACGATGTGCGTTCGTGAAATTTGTTGGCTAGAATTAATCCGAACAATTCCTCAGAGCATTCCCTGTGGTAGATGTGATAGAAAATGGAAAGCGATGCAATATCTCTTCGCAGCGTCTTTGAACCGAGCCGATCAGAAAGAATTCGGTCGTCGACTATTCGAGCCGATCTGCGCTGGATATGGTCAAGTGAAAGGAGCTGGCACTTGTGTGCCCGGCTCAGAGATGAGAACAGTATTTCATGTGAGGCCGAAATTACGCCTTGTATAGTTACAAGCGGTGTGCCGGCATGAAATAGGTACTGTCCCGCTCTACTGAGCACGCCAAGTTTTTAGAGGCTAATTTGACCTTCCCTTCCAAGTGACGACGAATATATATATATATATATATATATATATATATATATATATATATATATATATATATATTATATAATATTAGATATATATCTAATACTATCTTCTTATATACTTCTCTATACTTGGGTAAAAAATATCGACGATATATATGTATATATCGTTGATATTTATAAATCGTGATATATCGATATTCAATACTTATCCTGGAATATCGAATTCGTATTAATTTCGATATATTTTAAAATATATTAATCGACAAAATACTAAGCAACAAAAGAAGCTACAAAACATTCATGTGTCGTTGTCGTGTTTTTTTTTAACCAACCGTCCAGTAATACCATTTTGAGCTTTATCGTTCTACATTATGCAAAACATGACGATATATCGATTTTCATCGATACTGTTTAAAAATTCCGATACGATATATATATCGATTTAGTTTTTCTCTTGCCTATCCCTACTCGTCGCTATTGCCACATGAGTAGATAAACCATAGATTACTGCGTATTGAGATAAACGGAATATATGCTAGCAGCTAGCCGGACACGCGAGGGATCCCGTTTGCGTGCCGATCGCCCGCCTGCGTCTGCTCACCCCCTTAAAACCTACGTGAACACGATACCATTTCGTCTTCAAGGAGAGGAGTGCATTGCGAACCGAGTGCTGTATTAACCGCACGTCCGGCATGGAGCACTCACATCGCGGGATGGTTGACGGTGAGTTCCCGCGTCATTGAGAGTCGAGACGAAAAGATAGATCATAGCAGTTCGGCTTTCTCCTTTACGGCATGAGCCAATGAGTCGTCCTCTCTGTGCAAATATGGAAGAGATAGCTGACAGAAGTTCCCTTGGACAGCTTTGGCAAGAGACCAGAATACACGGGTTCCGAAGGAAGGCGAAATAGCTTCCCGTTAATTCTGCCGATGTGTTCTGACCTTGCCTTGACAATGACTCTTTTGAAGGACTTTTTTATAGGATAGGGTGACAAACGAGCACACAGTCCACCTGATGGTATGTGGTTGCTGCGGCCCATAGACATCCACATCTATCCTCGATTACAAATCAAAATGCAGATGCGTTGTCACCCGTAAGGACTAAGATGGAATGCCTCGTTTCCAGTAAAAGAGGGTCTTCGGATCTCAACACTCGCCATACGAAACGCTGCTATTTTACGCTGGTATTCTGTGAGAGCGTCGACCTTCCCCGGTAGAGCCGACCCATTCGTGCTACAACCATAATATAGCTGCAGCGTGGCTCTACCACGTTTCCCTTCAGACACAAAATTTTAATGGCGGACCTGTATCTAGAACTTACATTCCTTTTTATTGGAATTAGATTTCTTATTTGATAAATCGGCGTGTACGTGATCTGTGCCGGCTGTTTGTTTAATTTGAAATTACTTCGTTACGCTTTTGCATCGCTTTGTATTATCAGCCTTGAATGTTGACGAAGAAGGCCGTTCAAGCGTTGTTTAAAACATTCATAATTACAATTAAACATTGAAATAAATCAATTTTACGGATTTTATCCCAAATATGATAATCGAATAAAAAAACGGTTTGATTTTTGTTGCTGAGTGTTATCTTTGGCTTTACTTGGTATTCGGTAGTTAATAAAATTAAATCCTAAGGTAAGTATGGCACTGCAAAATATCATAATATGACCTTATTTATAGAACGATTAGATTAAAATATAGTTTTAAAGCTGAACGTGGCGCAGAGTCCGACTATCTAAACACCTAATTCTAACATCGTTGACCACGAGTGCTGCAAAGCACTCGGAAATATAACAACAATTAAACGCTTTAATACCTTTGGATCCGTTTTATACAATTATTGTGTTTGTATTTTTATTCTTTACTAGGTACTTTTTGTGCTAAGACAGCCAGTACATTAACAGTTTGTGAGGCAATCTATCTTAGACCTCCACTGTGACAACGCAACCGCGGCCTTTTTTATATAAAGTGGCCACACGTGTCTATTAGTTTTTTAATTCTATTTTAATAAAGGGAAACGGAAATATTCATCGTGTCATTGTTCATGGGAAAACAGCGGAATACGTTTGTATGGGTTTTGATGTTAACGTACCTTTGTGTTTGCGTGTTCACTTGTGGAGCTAATCACTGCCCAAATGTATCTATAGTTCGGCAAATTTGAGAGAGTTATGGAATAGCACGCCGCACTGCTCCATTTGCTTCATATATTTGCTCCATTGCCATTAAAATTTCTTTAGTGCTGGATATAGTGCTAGATATGGATATTTTATACGTGATAGAGCCATGCTCCAGTTATATAAGTACCTAGTATAGTTGTAGCACGAAAGAGTCGACTCGACCGGGGAAAGACCACGCTCTCACAGAATACCAGCATAAAACAGCAGCTTAATGCTGCTGTTTTTCGTTTGGTGAGTGTAGAGAATCGAGGAACCATTTTACTGGAAACGAGGCATTACATCTTAGTCCTCACGGCTGACAACGCATCTGCGTTTTGATTCGTAATCGAGGATAGAGGCAGATGTCTATGGGCCACAGCAACCACGTACCATCAGAAGGACTGTGCGCTCGTTTGTCACCCCATCCTATAAAGAAAAAAATACAATTGAATACGCAGTGAAACAACCTAGGCTTGTCACACATTCTTCATCATCTTACAGCACATTAACACTCTCCATTGCTGAAGAAAATAGATAGGATTTTCACCCCTTCCCCGAATGCAGAAAAAGCGCATTCCTGAGCTCCTTACATCCCTTGTCTACTTGTATCCTCCCACAGAAAATCCACTCCCCACCTTACGCGTTAATAAGTCCTATCCGTGGCTCGAAACGTATTTACTACACGTAGAAGTATGTACGTAATCGGTTATACGTAGTTCCGTGGTTACACGTAATTAATTTCGGAAACGCTTATTTTTGTAGCTAGCCTCTGATAAGCTGCACTGACCGGGGGAATTAACTGAACGAATATCTTCACGTTTAGATTCATAGCACGTATTGCCAGAATTTCTTTGACTAATTAGCTAGTTATTTTTGCACAGATTGTTTCGATTTTAAATATAACGATTGAATGAAACACGTAACGTACTTTATAGTACCTAATGATTTAGCAATAGGCCGGCCATATAGATCGAAAAACCGACAACGATGGAAAAGAAAAGTTCCAGATTTGCAGCCAAGTGTAGAACTGCTCACCACTTGATGGAATGACGACCTGGTAATAAATGTAGAAAGTCGATAGATGCTGGTGGCTCATG